TTGGGAAGGCTTGGCCTAGGATCTGGACTCCCTGACAGGGAAGCTTTTTCGGGGGAAGGGAAAGTCTCTCTGGGACTCTCTGTACATTGGACATGTTGGAAAGGAAAATCGAAGGATGGTGCTTTATGCACCATCCTACCAATCGGGCAATGCGGAGAGAGAGCTTAACCCCGATGACGTCGGCCCATGGATCTCCTGTTGTGGTTCATTCGGTGGGCTGATAATCTTCCATACCGAATCGTTTGATCGTCTTGGAATAGCTTCGGTGTGTCTCACAGAATCTCTCTCATGTTTTCTTCTTCTTTTTTCTGTTTTTGACCTTTCCTTTCTCTCTCTCCGGTGACTCGTTTTCCATATGTCCGTCTCGTGTGTGTGTGTATCACTCCAGCGCATTCACTCTCATTCACTACTATGATTCCCACCCTATAATACGACGTCATGCTACGAGATTCCCGGATTGGATGACCATCACTCCACCCCGTTGCTTTGATTCTAGACTCCTATAAGAACTGCCCAGAGTCTCACCCTCAACTTACTTCACTTCCTCACCACTTCTCTTCTGCAACCGATTCCCTCATTGTGTGAATCAACCTAGTTCTAACGAAACTTCCTTTCGGACCATTTTTCCTAGCAAAAGACCCCAAAGTCACAATGTCGATCCCTGAGATGCAGTGGGCTCAAGTGGCCGAGCAGAAGGGCGGTCCGCTCATCTACAAGCAGATCACCGTCCCCAAGCCAGGACCAGATGAGATCCTTGTAAAGGTTCGATACTCGGGCGTTTGCCATACCGACCTACACGCCTTGAAAGGTGACTGGCCCCTCCCGGTGAAGATGCCCCTTGTAGGTGGACACGAGGGAGCCGGTGTCGTCGTCGCCAGGGGTGACCTGGTAACTGAATTCGAGATTGGCGACCACGCTGGTCTCAAATGGCTCAATGGATCCTGTCTCGCCTGTGAATTCTGCAAGCAAGCCGACGAACCGCTCTGTCCGAATGCTTCCTTGTCTGGCTACACGGTCGATGGGACTTTCCAGCAGTACGCCATTGGCAAGGCCGCCCACGCCTCCAAACTTCCAAAGAACGTTCCTCTGGACGCTGTCGCTCCTGTTCTGTGTGCGGGTATCACAGTCTACAAGGGACTGAAAGAATCTGGTGTTCGCCCGGGTCAAACCGTTGCCATCGTTGGTGCTGGTGGTGGTCTTGGTTCTTTGGCGCTGCAGTACGCAAAGGCAATGGGCATTCGTGTGGTGGCCATTGATGGTGGAGAAGAGAAGAAAGCCATGTGCGAGCAGCTGGGTGCCGAAGTAGGTCAATACAGCTCCTCCACCTCCTCCTCTTCTACTACCTCTCATTACCATAAAACACTAAACTAACATAATCCCAAAGGCATACGTTGACTTCACTAAGACCCAAGATCTCGTTGCAGATGTCAGAGCCGCTACTCCTGAAGGCCTAGGTGCACATGCCGTCATTCTTCTTGCCGTCGCCGAAAAGCCCTTCCAGCAGGCCGCCGAATACGTCCGCTCGCGCGGTACCGTCGTCGCCATCGGCTTGCCCGCCGGTGCTTTCCTCAGAGCCCCTGTTTTCAATACCGTCGTTCGTATGATCAACATCAAGGGTAGCTATGTCGGTAACCGTCAAGATGGCGTCGAGGCTATCGACTTCTTCGCACGCGGTCTGATCAAGGCTCCATTTAAGACTGCACCATTGGAGGATCTCCCGAAGATCTTCGAGCTCATGGGTTCGTTTACCTTTATACCCTAATAATGGATGCCTCGCCTTTCATGGGATTATGCTAACAAATGAAATAGAGCAAGGCAAGATCGCCGGCCGTTATGTGCTTGAAATCCCCGAATGAAGGGAGCATGATCATAACGCACGGAATGATAACAATTACGAGAATTATGAGATTCCATCATCTCTTCCTCAGGGTCTCTGGTTACAGACTATGAAGAAAATAAGAACTCTAATATAGAAGGTACTATAAGGGCACCTATGCGTGGGGTTCGGGACGGCGGGTGGCATCTTCTAGCAGATAGGTAATAATTCATGGTGTTAATTTAATAGCGTTTCGTTTACGTCGTGTCGAGCGTTCATCTTTCCTTGCTCCGTGCCTATTCTCCGTGGCGCATTCAGAGATGAAATAGTCTGTTTCGTCTAGAAAACGCCACCGCGACTACTTGCGTCATGCACATTATAACCCTCCAATATTTGCCTCAGAAGGACTAGACGAGCCGACCGTTGTCTGAGGTCCCTTATATATCTTCCTTGCATATAGCCCATAATACAGAAGTGCACCTCCCCAAAGCGCTCCATTAATAACCACTGTATAGTTCATATCCTGCGCTAAACCAAGTGTCAACTTCAATAATGGAATGAATGTATACCATGAAAAGAAGGCGAAAACTTACGAGTTGGATCCGGCCCTGTAGTTGGAAACATACACAAAATGATTGCAAACGCTAAATACACAATAGCGGTGACCGCTATCGGTTTACTAAATCGACCCGTATAAAACTCGCCAGGGTGGAACCGGTCCTGACCCCAGATCAGCCGGCAGAGGATGGGCATCATCCAGGCGAGATCATTGCCGGCTACGGCAAGAGAGAAGAGGGCGTTAGAGGCGGCGTTGTTGATTATGGAGAGGAGACCGACGATGATAGCGGATACTACGACGCCCCAAATCATGCGTACTGGTTGGTAGCGGATATTTTTGCTGACTTTGCGGAAGAAGGAGGAGAAAGGGAGGGCGCCATCTCGGGAGAAGGCCCAGCTTTGGCGAGAGGCGGCGATCACCTGTTTAGCATTTTTCAATGTTAAGGCTATAGGTGTGATAGGCACAGATGCATGTTATGGAGGGAATACGAACCAGACTCAGCCCCATGAAAAATTGGACAATTGCCACCACTATCATGAAGCCAAGGGCACCACTTTTTCCGAGGCAGTCGTAGTAGATCTATGGTACCTAGGGTTAGTATGCTGGAGAAGGCGTGGTATATGTACATGCTTACTTGTGCCATTGGTTGGCCAAGGTTTGTATTCAATACACCGTCCAAGTTGACATCAATCACAGCTGCAATTACTGCAAGAGAGAGAAACCCTAGAGCTCCACAGAGGCCTGCAGACCAAATGATACCCAAAGGTACAGCGCGCGCCGCATGAGTAGCCTCCTCGCTCATATGGACACACGAGTCGAACGCCCCGATTGTCCAGATCGGGGAGAGCCAGGCTAGCATGAACGCCCAACCTTGGGGCCAGGTTGTGAGATTTTCAGGATGACCAAAAACATAAGCACCCGAGTTAATATGTCCGCCCCTGATAGCCTTCCCTATTGGTAAAGCGAGGACAGTGGCTAGCACGAGACCGACATTGCTCACAATACATACCGACTGAATCTTGGGCATGATGCGTCCAAAGAACGTAGCTATAACGCCATGGACGACGACGCAGGCCACGTACGTTCCGTACACGACTGGACGGGAGGCAATCCAGTTACCATCGTGGGCCAGTGAGACAACAGACAGTAGCATGGTAGCGAATCCATCTTATTTGCAAGTGTCAGTGGCACACAGGGTCGAAATTGGTTGTTGCACAGATATTACAGGTTACATACAATCCACAGAGCAGACGCCACCGAGGAGACCGATAGTATTGCTATATCCGACAACAAAGCTCAGAGGGTTCTTCCATCTGTCACCACTGAAATAATGTGTCCAGAAATAAAGGCCTCCCGCCGTTGGCATTGCGGAAGCCAGGTCGGCCTTGATCAACGATCGTCAGACTGATAACGCGGAGAGTGAGGGACGATGCACTCGACATACCATGGAGAGACCGACGATAAAGATAAACACACTAGCAGCTAGCCATCCTGCAGTTCTGTCAGCCCCTTGTAAAGTTGCACGAGTCAGCCAAGAGAGTCTTACCCTACCCAAAGAGTCAGCCAAATTTTTCCAAGTGGAGAGATTTATCGATTCACCCAAACCATCCCTACAGGGCCTGCAGGTATCGAGAAGGACAGTGTGGAAGCAATCGAAGGCAATAGGCCCATGATACTGAATGCTACGGCAAAGACCTGAGTTGTTGAGTAGTGCCTTCGCAGTTCCTGTTTGTAACCGAGAGTGGCTGGCGAGATCAATATCCACTTTGCAGTCTATGTGCATGGGTATATGATTATGGCTTGGTTATCCCAAGGAGCTTACCAAGAAGTTGCATATCCCCAGACTCCACTGGGATGTCATCCTTCTCTGCTGCCGAAGCAGCCTTAGCCTTGGTATCCATAGCCTGGGATTCCTAGGGGGAACAAAAAGGGGAAACAATGAGATACGATGCCCGACTAAAAGGTAATAACTGGTAATAAGGCTTCTAGAGGGTGCCGAAGGGAGGAAATAAGCGAAGGAGGGGAAAGAGAACTCGGAATTGAAGGAAAGTGGCTAGGCCAGGGACTTCTTCTGGCTTGCCCTCAATAAGCTCTTCGTAGATAAGCCATCTCTGCATGACGAATGTTTATCCCTTCCCTTCCCCGGCCTTCGGGTCATGCGACCAATCCACCTGGGTTGATAAGATTGAAGATAGAGAGAAAAAGAGGGGAAACGAAACGATCGGGACAAATCCTAATGACAACTTAACATACAGTGTATTATTGTACGAGATCAATACTCATTTCATTGGAATTGTGAGAAAAAAAAAAGAATAAACAAAAAACAACTCCTATCTCCAAAAAGGTTCGTCTGAGGAGATAGTCCTGTAGATAATCTGAAACGCTGTGTCTTCTTTCATTGACCACAATCATATCTCAGCGAAGAAGGAAAACAATCGCTAGAATTGTTCTTAGTGTACACAACTTAGCACAGAGTTTCCAGACTCTGCGATGCCCAACCAATTGAAAAACAAAAAATAATTATGGAGCATGCCTATGGCCGGCTGGTGTATCAAAAGTATAAGAGCTACAAGCTTCTGATAAAACGGAACGATCGAAAGCAAATTATAGGTATATGAACAACGCCTACACAGCACCCGGTCCCTTATGATTCGATTGATCCAACAAAAGTCGGGGTTTGATGTAGTCCTCGTCCAGTTGCCGGAACCACGCGCCATGATCTCCAGATGATCCTCCCGAAAAAAGATCCCGAATAGCTTGACTGGCGCTCCGCGATGTCTCTCGCCCCGACGGGGACACATTGGCAGAAGGAGATGTTTGTGAAGAGCCCGCATACTGGGGGGGTTGCGATGGTGACCGCCGAAGTCGAGAAGCAGTGGGTGCTGAAGGAGGAAGATCATCGTCCGAGGGTGCTTCATCCACGTCTATATCAAAGGCATCAACTTGGTCAACATCCGCCGTTCGGCCCTTACCGTGACTCCGCAGACCGAACTCGTCTTCGCTACCCGCACTGTCACTGTGACTTCCAGTGCCGCCGCCAAGTAGCGTGGCTGTGGATGAACGGTCGCGGGTTGTTTGCGTGTCCCTCTGACTGTACGCATTGGAGTAGAGACGCGAATGTCTCCGGCCTTTGCCCGAACTAGATTGCGGTGGGCTGGGACGGCGGTTATTGCCGCTTGAATAGCTATCGTTTCGGTCAAGGCCCCCCCGCTGCACTCCGTCCAAGGGGATGGCTGAGTCCATCCGGCGGGGGGTATATCCCAGTGCAGTATCAGATCGTTTGTAATACGTTCCCCCATTGGTAACTTCAATGTCAAACTCATCGTCAGATTCGAGTTCCTCAACGACCCCGGTCCTAATACCAAGGATTTCTAGCATCCGGGCTGTGGTGCCGCCAAATATTATGACTGTCAGTACGACAACCACAAGCACCGTAGCTCGCAGTGCGGGCGCGTTGACACCTGTTAAGCCCGCGGCCAGCGCCACACCAACAGCCCCACGAAGCCCGGCCCAAAAGAGCATTGCTTGATAAGCGAAGGGCAACTCATCTGCCACTTCCATCCCGCGTCGACGGGCCCTGTAGCGAATGAACCAGTTGATCGCCTTAGACAGCGGGAACACAGCGAGGTATCGGGCAAGGCAGATGCCAATGACAGCTACCATGATGAAAAGAGGCTTGAACTGCAGATTCCTCTGTACAAGCAAATCAAGACCCAAATAGATGAAGATAAAGTTTTCTGACAATTGTGCCATCACCTGGAACAGATACTTCGTCGTTAATTGAGTTCGGCGCGACATGTTATAGTACGCATAATGTTTTAATGTAATTCCACAAAATAAAAGGGAGACGATGCCTATTAACTGTGAGTTTTGGAACACTCGAAGAAAGAATTCGGTTACTTACCAGAGAGGCGAACGCCATTGGAGAAGAAGTAACTGGCATATGCGATAAGAACAATTAGGCAACTCTCAATCTTAGGCACGCGGCGGACGTGTGTATGCTTGAGACCCAGTGCAGTCATGATACCTACAATCATGCCTACGAGCATGCTGCCGAAGAAGACAAGCAAGAAAAGACCGATGGCCTCAAACAGATTGAGAACGGTCAGGGAACCCGCATCGCTGTCGGCATACTTCTGTGCAGTCTCAAACAAGACAATTGCAATTGCATCATTCAAAATCGACTCGCCGAAGATAACGGTGTAAAGCTTCGGCTCGACTTTGTATAGGTTAAAAATGGCGAGGATAGTAACTGGATCCGTCGCAGAGAGCGTAGCGCCTACAGAGATAGCTTCGACAAAAGAGATGTTCAAGCCATCCAACGGAATCCGCGTCCAGACAAACAAAACAAGTCCCAGCACGATAGCCGAGATGAAGGTCCCCGCAAACGCAAAGGTAAGAATAGTGCCAATATTTCGAAAAAAATTTGCCTGGTGTAGCTCATATCCCGAGGCTAGGATAATTGGAGGAAGAAGTAGGTTGAAGAAGAACTGATAGTCGAATGTGACGCTGTCCTGAATGGGCGATTCGGGACTCAACCGAATGATCAATCCGACAAACATACCTATAGCACCCGTGAGACACCAACCACACAAAAGGCTTGTGCTGATTGCAGAAGAAAAAAAACACACCAGCAAAAATAGAAAGGACAGTTTCATGAACCGCTTGGATCTTCTTCTGTTGGAGAATGTAACTGGTGAATAGCGCGAACATCAAGAGCATAATCAGAATAAAGAGCGCCCAAGAGCTGAAGAACTCCTTGGTGCCAGCTTCCGGAGCATCTATCCAAACCCGTCATAGTCAGAGAGTGGTATTACGACCCGAATATTGGGAATTTCGGTGCGCACCTTCGTCAGGGTCAGATTCGGAGTCCGCAGCTCTCCCTAGCATAGCAGGAACGGTCAGCCATGGCGCGTTCAATTTCTCAGGAATATATCACATAGTGTGGCTCGGCGACTAGTTTCACTGGCACAGTGACCGTGACAAGTGAGAGCGCCCTTGACAGCAAAACGTTGGAATAACGGCAGGGAGGAGACATACGGATAATTTGATGAAGGGCATCGCCCATCAGTTGGCTAGCCATCCTTACGAAGGCCACGCAACTACGACAGCGGATGACACCAAGCGGTTAACTCCAGCTGCGAGTGTCTGGCGCCAGACCAAGGCGCACATAATCCACTGACAAAGATAAAGTGACGAGAACAAATGCGAGAGGAAAGAGAAGCAGGAAGATGAGATAGGCAGGTAGATTGGGACAAGTAATCAACGGTCAGTGGTCGCCCGCATTTTGCCCGATGACCTGCCAAGAAATGCAGTCCCGCCGGTTGTCCGCCCGCTGATCATTCGGCATGTTGCATGTTGTACCTACGTACTAACTAAACTAATATGATACACGCTCATAGGTTTCATATGTTAGTTTCTTTCTCTTCCCCCACCCCCCTCCAGGGAATAATCACTACTTCTGACTTATCTCAAAACTATCACCATCATTTCGACTCGAACTACATAGATCTTTCACTTCAACCGATGTCCCTCGGCAAGCCGGCTAGTCAGCCATGCTGCAAGCACTGCAGCGCAACCTCCGAACCTCAACACCCACCCAACACTATCATCCCAAGGTTCACCTCTAGGTTTCTGAAACATCTTAAAAATAGCACTGCATATCAAGCTGGACAGGATCTGCGGCGAGGAGACCGCCACATTATGGAGCCCGAGAATGATTCCCGCCTGGGCTAGATTTTCTTCCTCATCCGTTGGCTTCCTGGGCCCATCCTCTAGATCACCAACGCTTATGGCAGAATTTGGCTGAGTAGAGTTGTCAGTGGAATACTGTGCTGCAATCTCTGATCGATGTTGCCGAACCCGACGTTCGGCATCAATCCGTGCGACCTCTGCGGATATGAGCGCGAAAGGTGCCCAGAGCGTCAAAGCCCAGGAGATACCGACTATTCCAATAACCACTGTCGCCGCTTGATGACTATAGATGAAAAAGGTGCTAAACATGCAGAGCGCAAAGAGTACGTGAGACAAGAGCCAAGCTCGGCGGAGTGTAAACCCTGGGATCTGCAGTTTTGACAGCCACGTTGATCCGTCTGTGGCTTCGATATTCTGCTTATCCGGAAGAGTCGGAGGCGGCTCTGATGCAGTACCAACTGGTAGGCTTGAGCATGACATTCTCCTTGTTCCTAGAAATGGCCTTCTCTCATCTGAAGGAGGGTTGATTTCCTCAGATGAGACAACAGACCTGTAAGTAGGGACAACGAAAATAGGCAACGTTATGTTAGTAACAAACGAAATGATTGCATATACAAGAAGGGCAAACGTTCCGATCCTAGTAGCTTTCTCCCAGGCCTCGTCTATTTCATTGTCAGGAAGGTTCGGGTGTTCATCAAAGATTGGGTTAACATAAAGCTGCCCGATGTACGTTGTAGCGTAGAAGAGGAAAGGAAACCACCCAACCCATGCAGCCAGTTGGACTTCACAGACTTTGGCAATCTGGGGCGGTAGGTACTGGATCGACTTGAAAACTTGTCGGAAGAAGGCTACAACGCCTGGATTTCCGGTAGAAACTGACGATTCGAGCCGCGGATCTCTTTCCTGAATATATAGACAGCTGATTAATAGCGTGATAACAAGTGACAGCGATGCTAGTGCGCATAACACTTTGAACTGCGTATTTCCCAATAATGGGAGATAGCGGGGCAAATCAATATATCCAAAAATGTATCCTAGAATATTGCCCACGCCAGTGAGCCGGCTAGCCCACGCGTTCGCTGATTCCTGTTGGTGCGCCGGCGCGTTATCAACGATAAAACACCGAATGCCTGCTTGAACTGTGCCCGTTTAGTATGATTAAGCCAAAGGAACGAGACAATCATTCCTACCAGTGTTTATAGCGAAATCTAGACAGTACATCAAGATAGTTGCAAAGACTATGATCGCCGTCCTAGTTCCCGTAGACGCCTGGTCGACGCCAAATATACCGAGGAAACCTCCTATGAGCTCTCTCACCCACGCAAGAGCAAGCAGAGCCACAACAGTGGCCAAGCCGCCAACTACCATGAAGGGCTTCCTTTTGCCCCATGACGAGCGACAGTTGTCGCTGCAGATGCCAATATATGGCTGCACAAGCGTTCCTGTGAGAGGGCCAGCAATCCAGACGAAAGCGAGCAGGGCTTTGCTCATTCCCAGAGACAAAAGGAAAGGCTACATAGGCACGTACATCATAAACAAGGTTAACGTGTATTCCCACATGGGTGTCGGGTTAGATTTGCTTACCGACCCATTCGATAGTTCAACTGACCAGACAATCTGGAGTCTATGTTTTCCTTGATCAGTATTGCCGTCTAAAGATACCTGTGATTTCATTGTGTCATAAAGTAGGGCAGATAACTTACCCACCAATACTCAACGTTAGTAAGAAGAGATACCAGCTACTCTTCGTGTCTGATAAATGTTCAGGAGCCTCGGCTCCAACGCCATTCTGCATTTCTTGCGCTGTTATTAAGTCGACGTCGTTATCGTTGTCTGGTCCCACTAAGGGGGACATCTCGTCCGCCACTCGTTCATCTGTATCCGCCATTAGGGCGAATAAGACCAAAAACTATTTCTGGTTTAGAAGTCAACCTCGGCTACCACGGAGAACGTATAACCTGCGATTTTCTAGCCCAGAGCGGAGGGGATGTGATATATGGGAAGGGCTGTAAAAATTAAATAGATAATAGAAGGTAACGGTAGGTGGAGCAAATAACTTGTTCTTCTTTTCTTCGTACTTCCAACGTCACTATGAGAAGAATATATGCAGGGCGAAGTGTAGCTTAAAGAAGCGTTAGGTGTGTCTAGACCCTAGTTAATAGCTAGAGTCGAGGTACCCGGACTCTTATGTGGACCAATCAATAAGAAATGGTATCATCAAGGACGATCGTTTGCAGATAGAGAAAGTAGACTACTTGATAGTGGCTGGCCGGGATTAGCTTCGAGGGAAGAAAGCAAAGAAAAGGAGAAGAACGGATACACAAATCCGATGGAAACACGCTTCCAAGACGATGTTAATGCAGGATATTATCCTCTTGGAGAGGCTGGTTCAATCGACGTCAGCAGGGCAATCACATGACGTAGCACAACACATGGAACGCCTGGAATCGAGATCCAAATGACGAACCATGGGTTACGGCGCTTGTCAGAAGGACACTCACTGTATTTAATTTACCGTAATTTGGGAAGGGTTATTTATGATCTGGAGTGGTCTTTAGAACTTCCGAAGCTTCAATATTTCATCATAAACAGGGCATAATGAAAATCCCATAATATTCCGCAATATATTTGCTCCTCAAAAGCTATACGCCGCTTTTATTCCATCCCGCATCGTGCTTTCCCTCGTGATTCCTGCCATACAGAATCCCCATATAGAGGAAAGAAAAATGATACAGAAGTCCATCCGATATCAACATAGCGCGTGAGAACCAAATAAAAACAACCAGGAAAAAAAAAATTCAAGACTGATTATGGTAGAACCGCAGCGTAGGTGACGACCGGTAACGCATGTACACACACCAAAATCCAACGCATTCCGGACAGTAGACCAGAAAATCGGCAAACCTGCACTGAAATCCTCAGACCCTGGCGGTAGGCTGGAGAGCAGAGATTAGGACACCCCCTCAACATGTCTCAATAACGTGATGTAGTAGTCCAGCAGCCAAGTCACAATTGGAGACTCCAATGGCTGGATTAAATGATGCAACAAATGGTATAAACAAATATTCTAAAGCATGTAAAATATCCGACCCCGGACCATTAAAATCCACCGTAGGGATCATGGTCGGCAAAATCGGAGTCATTATTAATTTCACGAGAATCGGGAAAAGTACCACTGGGGTCGTACTTTCCTTCGCGCCTTCTACATTTGCTGTTGTAGAAGTTGCGGAGCAACCATATGAGGTGCCATCATGGTAGGCATGGCAGAAGGTAGGGTCATGGTAGAAGGCATTGACGTGACGGTGGATACATTCACCACGGTACTTGGAATAGACTCGGAAGGGGACGATCCCTCATCCTGCGAACCGAGTTCGTTGTCCTCATTATCCAGGTCCTCATCTTGCGCATGAAGTGGTTGTTGGCCATCCTGTTGAGCCTCATGGATCCGACGGTGTCTACGCGGATGGTCAGTGTATTCGTTAGTTACAATGCATTGTTAGTCAACTCACTGTGCGAGATTGTCAGAGCGTGAAAAGGCTTTATTACAGTACGGACAAGGGTAGGGTCTTTCTTGAGTGTGGGTTCTCACATGCCTATGTCAATTGTCAGTGGGTACTTCCAAATACAGTCACAACGCCACCAAATAGATAGGTGAAGTTAGTGAAGACACCGGATAGTTGTAACTTACCGCTTCAGATGTTCTAATCTCTTGAAGAGTCGCCCACATGACGGGATAGGGCATGAATGTGACTTCTGGGGATAAGGGCCAAGTTCCATCATTGTAGCGCTTCGAGCGCGGCGAACAGGGCCAGGAACAAACCGCTCCGCCTTGTTCATCGCACTGTGCTGCACACCTGTCTCCAGGACATCGCCATTAGGAAGTGCTGTCAACTCATCAGGAGGATTCGCAAGTGGCATGGCGCTCTGCTCAGGATTTTCTTCGAGACTTGAAAGTGGTGTCCCATTGCGAGACATCTCGTGTAACAAATTCTTTTGCGGAAGGGCGCCTGTCGGATAACCATTCATGACACGGCGGGACGAGTCATGACGTGGCTCTTCGACCTCAGCGACGGGGGCCACCGAACTGGAAACGGAGCGCCGTAGATCACTTGGCTTATGAGCAGCATACGCAACTGATTGAGAGGGTCCGGGCGCTTGAGAATAAGTGGGAGTAGCGATCGGGTTGTTAACGCCCGGTGGTATCGAGGATCGACGTCGCCGTTGCTTGTACGTTGGAGAGCCCTCTAGAACAGAGTACACATTTGAATGAAATGTTCTTGCAGGAGTGGGGAAATGGGCGCTTGCGAGATTTGATGGCGGAAGCTGCAACATTGGGTTGAATGCAGCAGCAGAGATCTCAGGGATAGCAGTATAGAGGCCGGTATCTTCATTAGCAATATATGCAGGTTCAGTGCCAAGCGGAACACTGTGCTGTGGAGGCGTAACAGGTTCAAAGGACAATCCCCGGTTGCTGTAGTCTTCGTATTGGGACGAAACGAACGATGGCGCCGGCGAATACTCGACGAAAGTTGGCATGGAGGCATGGCGCTGATGCACGCGAGCAATGGGCATTCCATTGCGATCATACTGGATTGACCCATAATCGAACTCGCGCTTAACAACGTTCTGCGCCAGGGTATTGGGCATAGGGATCGGGTTGTAAATCGCTGGACTGCCAGATTCGTCCGGGAGGAGTGATATCGTCGGGGGGGCCATCTGGGGAGCCATCTGGGGAGGAGGCATAGCGTCAACGGTCCGAACCACTGGGGAAGCGGGTTGGCCATATGTCGTACTTGCGTGTGCAGTAAACGATGATGAGTTTGCTTGTTGTGCCTTTGTGAGCTGTTCATACAACGATTGAGATGAATCAAACTCGAAAGACAAAGCAGGCTCGCTGACCGCGACGGTAGTCGCCTCTTGTCCCATTTTCTCCCGCTTCAAATCACGTTCCAAAGCATCGAGGAACAGGCGATCGTGTGGAACGCTATACCAGTAAAAAACTTTTTGCTTTTTCTGTGTTCGAATGCAATTGTTCTTATAGAGAAAATCAAGGAATGGACTTTTCGGTTCTTCTAGTGTCGCGTCTGTTCCAGCCTTGAGATTACGCAGATCGGAAAAGATACCCTCTTCGAACTTCTTCGAATTCTTGACGGGACGCCCGAAGGCTTGAAATCTAAAGGCGAGACACCGAACTATATCGGTACCGGAGATGTGGAAAAGATTGTTCCTGATATCAAATCAGCCCAATTATCCTTACTCTGAACCAGAGTTAACATGTGATCAAACGAACCACAGAACACAAGATATGTAGTCGCCAGTAGGAAGTAGGAACCGCCTAATGAGTTGATCTGGTTGCCAGTCCACTGGCGCAGAAAGGAGGAAGTACTTCACTATATCGAGAATCATATTAGCCTAGAAAATGATATTGATTGATGTTAAGTGACGAGATTGGTCGAGGCGGCCGCCTCCATTGAGGTATACCCGACTTACAATTGTCAACTTGCTGTAGCGCGACTTGCGCGTCATGGGGAAGGCTTTGCTGCGCCTCGTTTGAAAGCATGAATGTTTCCGGTTTCTGAGGGGGTGCCATCGGAGCACCATGTTGCGGATACATCTTGCTCAGAGAATGCCTGTATATCTTATTAATCAAGTGCTAGAAGAATATCTGAATCAAAGATAAGCGGCATTGACAAGTTGGATGAAATAACAACTCTGTGGCTCGCCTTTGAAGCAGCAATCAGAAACTGGGATGGAAACCTACGCACAGGCACGACTGTCTCAGAAAGTGGCAAACCACAAGCTCTAAACTAAAGAGCGATATGGGCTAGGAAAAGAAAGTGATAAAAATTGAGTAAAGGAAACAAGAAACAAAAAAAAGGTAATAAGTTTAGGATATGGAATCAACGACCGATCATGGAAACACTGAAGCTATCCAAACACAAGAGGAGCCGGCCTCTTAGAAAAGGTGGGTGGGCGCTGACGTTGCAAGGCTTGTCAACTCAATGAAGGAAGAGAGAAGGCGAAAAGAGGGCAAGAGAGAGTTGAAGTGGGCCAGCCCGGATCCAAGTCTCTTTGAATAACTCGCACGGCGAAAGTGGAACGAAACGAAGGGTGATGAAAAGAAAGAGAAAAAAAAATAAAGAAAGAGGTCAGTCGCGATGAGAAGGGAGGGGGGGAAGAATAAGAGAAGGCGGAGGATGAGTGCCGGAGGTGTTGCTCTTTTACAGCGGTTAGATGGTAATAATAACACTAGGGTAATAAAATAGTAAAGGTAGGTAACTATGTCAATCAATCAAAATAATAATAGTAAAAAATCAACTAGTGTTGAGGGGTTAAGAACTTGGAAGAGGAATTCAGGGAGCGCCGACCGAGACCGGATGAGGTTTCCCAGTTGGAGGGCCCTTTTTCTGGCTCCGTCGTTCTCCTCTCACTACTTCAACTTAATTAAGGTACTTAGTAGTACGACGGCTAAACCGAGTCTCTTTCTTCTCTAGCCTTTGGCCTGTGGTTGGGCTGCGGGAAGGACGCACGACGAAAAAGTAGGGCTTCTGTTGGCGAAGCGGAGACTGGCGCCAGGGACCGCCTCCTAAGGTAAGTACTACTAGTAGTACTAGAGGTAGGCTGAGCGCCATCCCATACATGATACGATACACGTTAGTTACCGTACCCACGGTTCATTGCGCCAATCCAAACGAAGCACAACCCGGCGGCTGACAAACAATGACGGAAGGCAAGGTAAAATAGCAAAGTATTTAAACCGTCCCGTACCACTACGTATCTGGCCGTGTATGGCGAGTGGGGCTTCCGTCGAGTTCCTAAGATTCCAATTCCTGTCGCCCTGCTGGGGGGGGCCACCCAACTGGGTCATCAACCCGTTTTTTTCTTGCC